AGTTTCTATCTATCAGGAATGGCTGGGAGAGAGTCAGCAGTCTCTTCTGAGGAGTCTGGGCTCCAGTAGCCTTCCTTCTAAGGAAGACAGGATTAATGACTGCTTTCTGAGCAGAGAGGAGGAGAGAGTGGGGTGGTGGGGATGCATGGTCCCTGGGGAGTGTTAGATCTGGCTGCCTATCCTTCAGGGGTCCCCTGCATGCGAAGACTGAATGTGTGCCTCCCCCTGGCCATGTGGGGAAGCGTGCCATCGACTTACTTCGTGGTATATCTGTTGGTATATCTTATATCATGGTATATCACATGGTTCCATGTGAGCACATGAGCCCAGTCCTTACCCTCACGTAGGTTGCCGGAAGAGAGAGAGAGAGAGAGAGAGAGAGAGAGAGAGAGAGAGAGAGAGAGAGAGAGAGAGAGAGAGAGATAAATGTGAAGTCATAAATTCTAGGTGGGGACTCTGGAGTTGTGTGAGTGAGGAATCTGAGAGACAGGACACTTCGCCACGAAGTGATCCTGACCTGGGGCTTTCAGCCTTAGCTTTGGCCACAGGCAGAGGAGTCCTTGTGTGATATTCAGGAAGGTATTTGGTGCCTTGTAAGCTCAATGCTTGGCGATGCAGGACCTTCCACTTCAACCCAGACCACTCTATAAGGTTACAGATGTCCAGCCTTTTACCTGTTAATGTACCCATGGGTATGAGGGGAGGCTCCAAGACTATGCCTCAAGGGGTAGCTGTCTTTTTCTGTTGTAGAGTGTGTTTATGACTCTGTTCAGCAAATCTAGAGGGCCACCATGATGACTTAGAGAGCAATAGAGTTTTGAAACCAATTTATGGGGTGTAATTAACAGTCCATGAAGATGACCCAGCCTAGAAGAATGATTCAGAATTGGCCCAGTGGGTAAACACTTTTCCTTGATCACCCAAGTTCCATTCCAGAACTCACATAGGAAAAGAAGAACAGACAGGATGTCCTTCGAGGTACCTTCACAAGTGCTGTGGTACATAGCATGATCCATTCACAAAATAAGTGCATAAGAAATAAATGTGTGAAAGAGGAAGGGAGGGAGGGGAGAGAGAGAGAGAGAGAGAGAGAGAGGGGAAGAACTCTTTTTTTTTCTTTTTGAAGTAAATTACTGTGTTGGGCACTGTTGCCACATTCCGTTATGCATCTTTATATGCGTTGGGTCATCTTTCCAGACAATAGACGAGAATATTTTTATTTTGCATAATATCGGATCAGCACTTCCAGCATGAAGATCTCGTTAATTAATTAATTCAATTATTTACTGAGAGCCTGCTGAAAACCACAGTTGGGCTAGATGCAAAAGGGAATAAAGAGATAAACGAATGCCAGTGGCTTTTTTTTTTTCAGCTTGCTGACTTCTTGCTAAAGACAAGTTAAACTTAACCTGGCTCTCTGGTATGGAGCTGGTGTCTGCCTTATGCTCCATGATTCTAGCAACTAGAGACCTTGCTTTTGCAACCCCATGTCGTGTACTTGTTCAGTCCCTAAAGACAGTGGTACTCGGGAGGGTGCTGATGCTCATGACAGTCTTGGCCTGCTAAGCACTGATGTCTTAGAGCTGAGCTGCTTTAGGAGGCTTCCAATGTCCAGAACACAGATTAGATCCAACTAATAGCAAGACCCCCCAGGAGCTACAGCCAGTTGTTTTGTACCCTGTTCACCTCCCTACGGTTGTGTGTGTGCGCGTGTGCGTGCGCGCACACACACACACACACACACACACACACACACACACCCCGAACTGATGCTAGACACAATTGACAGTTGGGGTCTGCTCTGTATCTGAAGGAGAGCAGTCCATTATGTGCCTGCTGGTTCTGTGCATCACTTCAGGGCGATGTATGATGTTCTTCTACATCACATTCTTAAAAGAACTTTTAAACCTGTGTGGCGCCATCCCATTTTCCTGATGAGGAAACTGAGGCTGAGAGCAAGCGAAGGGCTGGTGTCAGTGTGTGTCACTGCTGCTGTGGATGCAAAGCTAGGATTTTCTTCCCGCGCACCACATCCTACTTCAGTTACTGGTACTCGCCGAGTGCCTTACCATCTTGGGTGCAGAGACCTTACGGACAAAGGGCATGCAAGTCCTGTTGTCCATTACCCCAGGGTGCTCTCCTGTACCAGACTTTCTTTTGGGCCACCAACCAACTCCCAAATCATGACACAAAGACCTCTTATTAATCATGAATGCTCGGCCTTAGCTCAGGCTCATTTCTGTCTAGCTCTTATAACTTAACCTGTATTTCTTCATCTATGTTTTCTTTGGGGCTTTTTCCTTTCGTTTTCTTTCTCTGGCTGGCAGCTGCCTGATTTTTGGCTCCTCTCTTTCTCCCCTCCCCCTTCTCGTCTCACCCCTCCCTGTCCGATTTTTCTCTCTGCCCACCAGCCCCGCCTAGCCCTCTCTTGCCTAGCTATTGGCCAGTCAGTTTTTAATTAGACCAATCAGGTGCCTTAGTCCGACAAAGTGCAACAACAGCACTCTTACATAATTAAACAAATGAAGTATAAACAAATGTAACACACCTTTACACAGTTAAAGGAATGTTCTGCAGCATAAACAAATGTAGCCCATCTTCGCACAGTTAGGAATGTTCCACAGCACTCCCCCCTGACTCCTGTCTCAGGCAACCATGCTGTTGTAGCTTGCTATTGCTAAGAGGAAATCCATGGTTCTGTTATTCCTGGGACCCTAAGTCACAGGGCTGTATCCTCTTGTTTCGGGCTTTCTTCCCCCACTTGCTAACAGTATAGTTTTATTTTTTTAAAATTTTTTTTCACGATTTTTTTTTTTGATGTTTATTGAGCTCTACATTTTTCTCTGCTCCCCTCCCTGCCTCTCCCCTCCCACTTCAACCCTCTCCCAAGGTCTCCACGCTCCCAATTTACTCAGGAGATCTTGTCTTTTTCTACTTCCCATGTAGATTAGATCTCTGTGCGTCTCTCTTAGTGTCAGCATTGTTGTCTAGTTTCTCTGGGATTGTGATTTGTAGTTGCTTCCGACTTCTATAACATTCCCTGGAAAGCTCTCCTAATGGGCCCCTCCCTCTGAGCCCCAGCCATTTCCTTTATCCTTGCCCAGATAACTAAGTTCCTCCTGATAAAGGTGAGTTCCTCCGGCCACCCCGTCCTGAGTCCCAGGGAGAATTTGGACACAGTGTTTTCACTTGTCATTTCAGACGGTTTGCCAGGGTTTGCGGAAAAAGACCTGTATTATTAATGCCCTCACGGGGAACAGCTGCGCCTGCCAGGCTATCCTGTGAGACTCAGAACTCTCCTGAACCCACCAGGTCAGGGGGAAACTTGATCTGGCTGAGGAGGAGAGCAGCAGGGGAGGCAGAAAGCATTTGGAAGCATTCTTCAGTCTCCCATAGAGACGGAGCAGGGCTATGCCTCTGGGCAACTGACTCCACCTGTTCCCTGTGGGGCCCTTTGAAGCCTCAGCAAGATAAAAACAAAGATATTAGTAATTAGTTAGGCAACTGAGAGGCACTGGCTTACAGCACCCACTTTGAAAGAAATTAGCTTTAGTGCTCAGAACTAGGCTATGGGGGCCCAGCGAGTGTGTGTGTGTGTGTGTGTGTGTGTGTGTGTGTGTGTGTGTGTTTCTTTCAAGAATGAGAAGATAGGTTTTGGTGGGTTTCATTTGTTTTGTGTTTTGAGACAGGGTTTCTCTGTGTAATAGTCCTGGCTGTCCTGAAATAGACCAGGCTGGCCTCAAACTCACAGAGTTCCATCTGCCTCTGCCTCCCAAGTGCTGGGATTACAGGCGTGTGCCTCCACTGCCCAGCAAGAAGACTTTTTCAAGAATACTTGAATAAAAAGAAGTTTCTTATTCAAGCTATGGCAGGTAGTATAGAGCAGCCGAGGGCTGCAAGCTGGGTGTGGGTTGTTCAGGTTCCTTTCAGGACTTCGTGCCTCGAGACATAACTGTTTCTCAGACTGTCCCCGCTGTTGGTCCTGTTCCTGAGATTTTGGGCGAGCCTGGGAAAAGAGACAAAGATCCAGTGGCTTCTTCTCTCCTAGTCCATCTTTGGGATCTAAGATGGCGCTAAGGCTTAAACAGGTGTCAAGCAGTGTGTGTACTAAGCAATCCTGGGCAAGATGTGAGTTCTGCCTGCTGTTTCCTTAGCCCCAGCCTCCCCATTAAGGGGCAAATCTGACAGGCTTACCCTTCTACAGCAGATCCCTTTCTCCTCTGTTGTTTCCAAAACCTCCGCCTTTTCTTCTTCCAGTGTGAGTGAGATTCTTGTGGGGAATTCCAGATTCTTAGGGTTTCTGTAGTCTGACAGCCAAAGTGATGGCCCCCAAATGTTCTTTTAAGATGTCCTCCTTCCTCTCAGGGCAGTTACAGTGTCCTTTATCGCTTACCTCTGTCCCCGCGACTAAACCTGGCATTCATGTGTGGAGCCGACTGAGTTCCACACCAGCTGGCCAGGGTGACTGAGGTGCTGGTAGGAGTCGATGGGCCACACCTCGCCTGCTCTCGGTTGGAACGCTCTGTCTGCCTTTGGCTCTTAACATTCCACCAACGCGCATCCCAGTTTAGAGCAGTGATTCTCAACCTTCCTAATGCTGCGGTCTTTTAATACAGTTCCTCGTGTTGTGGTGACCCCCACCACCACCATAAAATGATTTTCGTTGCTACTTCATATCTGTCATTTTGCCACCGTTATGAATTGTAATGTGTGTGTGTGTGTGTGTGTGTGTGTG